CGGCACATAACAACAACAACAACATGGGTTCTATCATGAAGAATGTTGCATCAGGATTTGGAGATTGGTTAATAATCTTCATTATACAGATGACGTAACCGTGCTTGCAGAAAGTGAGGGAGAAGTGCTTGCTATGGAAGATCAAACATTGCAGTTTTCAATACTCATTGCATCTCAACATCAAGTAAACAAAATCCTTGCCACTGGACCTATAGGCAACATCATGATAGATGGAGAAAGATTGAAACTGTCAAAGACTTCATTTTACTTGAATTTACAATCAATATACTTAGTACTAGCAGTCAGGAGGTCAGGAGATGTATTGCAATAGGAAAGTTTACAGTGGGAGCTCTCTCCAAATTATTCAAGACTAATGATGTCAGTTTGAGGACAAAGGTACACCTGATTCAGGCCGTGGTCTTTTCTGTCATCTGCTATGCATCTGAGAGCTGGACTATGACTAAAGAGGAAAGAAGAATTGATGCCTTTGAACTGTGGTGCTAGAGAAGACTGCTAAAGATTCCAAGAACTGCCAGAACAACAAACATGTCTTAAAGAGAGTGCAGCCAGAGCGCTCCTGGGAGACAAAGATGATGAAACTTTGTCTCATACTTTGGGCATGTTGCAAGGAATGATCATTCTTTGGAAGGAAACATCCTTCTTGGAAAGGTGGAGTGGCAGTGAAAGAAAGAAGACCTTCAATTAGGCAGTTTGACAAGGTGACTGCATCAATGAGCTTGAATGTGTCAGAGATCATGAGGATGGCATGAGATAGAATAGTATTCAGATAAGTTGTTCATAGGGTCGCTATGAGTCCTACTTGACCTGATGGCACATAACAGCAATAACAGTGCAAAATAATATAAAATTTCTGTAAAGCAATTTGACAATAGCATGCTTCTATGAAGATTACAAGCGAGAAAACTCTCTGGGACAGTACGATTCTGTCTTATAGGGTTGTTATCAGTTAAAATAATCTTGACACCACCATCAGTATTACTTTCATAAATTAATTCTCAGTTTTATAAGAAATTGATCATTTTGAATCAGTAATAAAATTTCTAAACTCTTTTGGTGAAGCATATGTTTCTATTTCTGGGTATTAAAAAGTTGACAGTTTGAATCCTGTGCCATTCTGTATCAACAGTGGCATTGCAACAGAAAGGTTACATCCAAGAAAAATATAGATATCAATTCTACCCTATAGCTTATAGGAATTTCATGAGTCAAAATACACTTGATGGCTTTGAGTAGAATACAATTTCTGTAGAATTCCTGGGTGGTGCAAATGGTTAAAAGTTAAACTATTAACAAAAAAGTAGGGAGTCAAATCTGCCTAGAAGTGTGTATGAAAATGCCCAATGAAAGTCATGAAAAAGCCCAATGAAGTACAGTTCTACTCTGAAGCACGTAATCTTAAGTTAGAACAGATTCAATGATAATTGCATTTTAAAAAAGATATCATTTGTATAATCTAAATTGACATGGAGACAAACATTTATGTGTACATACTCCATTCCAAAGAAGACAAAACAAATATTAAACAAAAGAAAAAGGGCCATGCATGTTGACATTACCTTTGTGGTCAAACTAATTGTAGATTTTAAACTTATTTTAAGATTTCCTGATATGTTGCATGTGAGATAAAATGACAGAATTCTATTGGTGGAAAAGAAGGAAAAACTAATGCCATAGAAATCTAGTTGATCCCAAATCAAAGTGACTATTATATTTCTGAAGCTATAAATCTTTATGACAAGTGACTGCACCTCTTTTTCTCATATAGCATCTGGTGGATTCTAAAACTGATATTTCTGTTAGCATGGTGTATGTTATACCAACAAGGCTCTGCCAAGCATCTAAAAGGGTGACCTTTAAATATGGTGAGTTTAACAATGAGTGATTTTCTATAAAACTTACTTTTACTAAGGTATAGGCAATGCAGCTATATTGTTTTTAAAAGATAAAAGATTGCCAGGAAACTCCCTTTATTATAGAGGGAAAGGTAATTTTGTAAGCTCTTTAGAATTTTTTTTAATTTAGTAAATACATACGTGACAAAATACAATCTTCATTTGTACAATTCATTGACACAAATTACATTCATTAAGTTTATATTGCACCATAGATTTTCATACTACAACTGACCCTCAACCAGATGGATTGACACATCACTTTTGCAATGGGTGTATCAGAAATACTGAGGATATAGCACAGGATAGGGTTCAGATTTATTGTTCACAGGATCACTATGAGTCATACTAGATTCAATGACACCTAAAAAAACTGTCTCTAACCCATGGGGGAGAGATTCACATCTCTGAAAGTTATTTTCAAAGAATAAGTTAAAACTAGCATATTAGCTAAAATTATTCAACACTTTGATAATTTAATATTTTACTTTTTTTCTCTCCTCAACTAAATTCTGGAAATATTCGATAAGCAAGCCCAAGCCTTGATCCTATACTGATGGACCATACTGTTCCTTCTTCCTAAAGTGTTCTTACCATTTATCTTTTAACTAGTTACTAATATCTAAGCCTCTTAATGTATTGACGGAATCTTTGTTTTCCTTGAATCATTAAAATGCCTATTACTCAATTTGCTCATCATTTACCTGTCTTCTGTAATTTTACTTTTTTAAGTGGCAAATTAAAACATTCATTCAATGATTACTTAAACAGTAAAAAAATATTGTAGCATTTTATGGTGAGTAAATGAAAATTAGATATTTTACCTAATCAGAGAGACTAAAAAGCCCCTGTAAAATTGATAATATCTGAAGATTAGTAAAGGGTCTCTGGTGGTGCAGGCTGTGTTGAGTCATGTATGAGTTTACTGATAGCCCAAATGTTGCTGTCTCTGACATTTCAAATCCAGCAGTAACTCTGTAGGAGGAAGATGGGCAGTTTCCTCCCCTTGAGATTTATAACCTCAGAAACCTGATGGATGCTTGCTGTGAGTGGGAAATGTTACAATGAGAGTGACTTTGAGGGTTTTTTGCTTGCTGGTTTTAGATTAGTACCTAGGTAGATATGAGCGGGAAGGAATTCTACGTATAAGTAAAAGTATGCTCGCATGTCCTGAGGTACAAGGGGGGAAAACCCTTTACTGACAAGCAGTCCTTAAAGCATTGATTCTGGTTTCTTTAAAAATCAAGCATGCAATCACAGTTAAAGATAACGGAACTTTCCTAGCAGATGAGAATAGGAAGCTCAAGGAGAAAAGACATAGAGGTTTGCTTTCCCAGATATATGAATTTATGTCAAAACTCGACATGCTGCTAAATATATACAACCTAGAAAACCCTGTGTGACAAGTTCTGCTCTTTCACTCTTGAAGTTTCTACCTAGGAAATAGGCCTAACAACAATAACAAAGAAATAATACTTTTCATCAGTTTTTATTCAAATAAATATTTGAAAATATAGTCTGCTGCATTCACCTAGCTAACTACACAGAATACTAAATAAAGAAAAACTTGATGGCATTTTTGGAGAAAAGAGAGGCAATATAAGGACATATAAAGCTTCGAGTATGGTCAGCAGTAAGAAGCAAAGTTAGAAGACCTAGTTTTTAATACATTATGTCTATGCTGAGGGAACTGCTTTCCTCTGAACAGGGATGTTCCAACAACTATTCTCCAACAAGCAATTTCCTTTGTATCCACAAAGACATTTTATTGTAATACATAAAGCAAAAATTGAAGAATAAGTTTATTAATTACAATTAATTAGTTACTGGTTTTAATAGGTGTATCTCTATTGTAGAGGTTTATATGAGTTAGCAGACTCTGTTCCTGACATTTGGAAGTGAACAGTGCAAATACGCTTGGCACTCAAAGATGAACAGATACATATAGACCTTAGATGCATGCTTATGGCTGTTAATAACAACTACTTAAGTACAATTTGAAAATAAAAGACAATTTATAAAAAGAAAAGATTGTGTAAAAATGAATAAAATGTTATTTCTCCCACTCCAATGTATTGAACTTTGCTATTCAACAATTCTATCTCAAAGTCTATGCTCTGAGAATTAATCTGTGTTATATTATCTCTGTTGTTATTATCCATTTTTTCCATCCATTTTACTTCTACTTAACAGCTCATGCTTTTATTTAATATGTAAGATTCTTAAATAATTTAAAATATTGTAACTATACGATTTTACCCAATGGTACTAAATGGACCTCATTTTTCCATTCTTTATAGTTTACCTCTCAGTCCAGGCTTAATGACTATCCAAACTAGAAATCCTTGCCTTCTGATTTCAATCCTTAACTTTCTCTTTGGGAACTGAGGAATATCAACTTCAATCAACTATCTTAAAAAGAAGGAATCCTACATGTAGAGAAGACATAGCGAAAAAAAGAGTCAAATATTAGTTTTAGGTAATCCATTTTTAAAGGATCAAACAACGACTGCTTGATTTACAGGATAGATCATAGAATATGAGATATTTACCCATTCAGTTGTGTTTGCAATTCATAAAAAGAGTTCAATAGAAAATTAAAGAGTAGCTTTTATATCATAGCAATAAAAGCAAGAAGATAAAAACAATATACATTGTTCTGTTTTTTTATAAAATAGCTAAAAAATTTATTATTTGTTCTGTCTTTCTGTAAATGAGTCAGGTGATATTTATGTATTTATTTATTGCCTACTTTTAAAATTTCAATGGTAGAATATCTACATGGTTATACAGGAATTTTATAACATGGAGAACTTAGAGTACTCTAAGTAGAATCCATTGAAATTATATTTAAATTAGAACAGATCACAGCAATGCTGTGCAAAAACATATGTGGATAGAATAGGTAGTAAAAGGTGCTGATATTTTAGAATAGGTAATCTTTTAAAAAATTCTTTTATTTTAGTTAAGGCTTTAATAAAAGTTTATAGAGAACTTGGATTTCCATTCATTCATTGTTGCATGTTTTCCTCCCTCCCAGGAATAGGTAATCTTAAAACAAGAAATTTGAGTTATGTATAAAGGATTTTATGTTTGCTCTCTTCCTCGGTGGTAAAGTGAGAGAAGGAGCCTCTTCATTGCTCCTTTCATGTCCTTGTTTCTCAAAGTGTAGATAAAAGGGTTTAGCATAGGAGTTACCAAACTGTAGAACAGTGACATTAATTTGTTCTTGTCCTGAGAGTTAGTAGAAGAAGGCTGAACATACATGATAATGACTGGTCCATAGAAAAGTGATACCACCATAACATGAGAACCACATGTGTTAAAAGCCTTCTTCTTTCCCTCTGAAGACCTAATTCTCAGGATTGTAGCTACAATGAATCCATAAGAGATAAGGATAAGTGACAGGGGCACCAAGGAGTAGAATGTCCCCACAATGGAAAGCATAGCTACATTAAATGTGGTGTCAACACATGACATCTTGATCATCACTGGGACCTCGCAAAGGAAGTTTTCTACCTTGTTGTTACCACAAAGTGGCAGCTGGACTGTGAGGGATGACTGAAGCAAGGAGTTAGCCAAACCACTAAGCCAAGCTATGACTACAAGAAGGATACAAAGTCGCTGATGCATGATAGCTGGGTACCTCAAGGGCTTGCAGATGGCAATGTAACGATCCAAGGACATCACTGCTAAGAGAATACATTCAGTGGCACCCAGGAAATGAAACATATAAAACTGAATCACACAGCCCCCATAGCTGATAGACTTATCAGGTCCCCAGAGGTTCAGCAGCAGCTGAGGGATTGTGGTTGTAGTAAAACACAGGTCCAGGAAAGAGAGGTTGGAAAGGAAAAAGTACATAGGGCTGTTCAGGTGAGGATCCACCCTGGATACCACAATAATTGAAATGTTGCCCACCAAAGTAAAAATGTAAGCAATAAGCACCATCACAAACAGAGGTTTTTCCAACCACGGGTAGTCAGAGAATCCTAAGAGAATGAAGATCTTTGGAACACTCACATTGCCCAGATTCATTACTGCCATTCCTCTCATTGATGAAGTAAAGATTAATTCCTTTAATTGTTGATTTATTCTGTTAGAGAAAATAAAGTGAGTTATGAAAGGATTTTCACAAATATTTCTATAACTCTAGTGAAGTGTTTTGACACTTGCAAGCATGAAAAATCATTAATATGTCACATATAATTTTTATAGTGCCTTCAAAAGAAACACTAACAAATTTTTTCTTTTACTCAAAGTTACATTGTAGCAAATTTAATGGGAAAGTGACTATGAAAGAGGATAATTGATCTTATATATTTTAAAAATAACAATATATACAACATATAGGAATATGAAGATGGTACAACTTTGCTTGCTGATACTGAGGTGGACCTGAAGCTCTTGCTGCGGGAGGTAAAGGACTGTAGTCTTCAATATAGATTGAAGACAAATATTTTCACCATGGGCCAATTGGCACCACCATGATGAATGGAGAAGATATTGTGGTTGTTAACAGTTACAATTTTCTCAGCTCCACAATCAACGTTCTTGGCACCAGCAGTCAGGAAATCAAAAGATGGATCGCATTAGGTAAATCTGCTGTCAAGGACTTTTCCAGAGTACTGAGAAGCAAAGATATCAGTTTAGAGACTAAGATGTGCCTGATCCAGCCCATGGTCTTTGCAATTATCTACTATGCCTCAGAGAGCTAGATAATGACTAAGGATGATAGAATAAGAAGTGATGCTTTTGAGTTGTGGTGCTGGAAAAGAGTCTTGAATATACCATGATCCACCAAGAAAACAAATACGTCTGTCTTGGAGAAAGTGAAATCAATTTTCTCCTTGGAGGCTAGGATTTTGAAACTCCATCTTACTTTGGGCATGTAGCCATGAAGTACTGATCCTTGGAGAGGGACAGCGCAGGAAAGGAAGACCCTGAGTGAGATGGATTGATACAGTAAGTAGGGCAATGGAGGTAGCTGTGTCAGAGTGAGATAGGATCAGGACAGACTTCAGAGGTATTGTATATAGAGTCACTGTAAGTCATCGGTGACTTAATGGCACATAACAACAATAATATGAAAAAGTGCCCAAGAACTGTTGATACTAACTTAAAACATATCTGCATTTATTTCTTTTGTAGTCTGTTGTTCTTAGTCATATGCTAGTTGAAATTATGATTTGATTTAGGGTGGGCTCAATACTGACAATTCAGTAGTGTTATCCACTTCCTAAACATGCCTCTGGAAACTCTATGAACTTTGATAAGTGATGATAGTTATAGAAAGGCTTCGGGTCTTTTGTTCATAGGGTCACTATGAGTTGTGCTCAACTCGATGACAATCAGCAACAACAACAACAATACTGAGTTTCATTCTGATCTATCCAATTTGCGTAGAAACAACAATACTTAGGTCTCTCCCGCAGGCTTATTCCCCCAAATCAAAATTCTTTCAAACAGTGTAAAAACTTTGGTTATGAAAGCAAGAATGGCAACATATTAATAAAAACAAAACAAACAATAATTGAATGTATAGCCTAGTACCAACAGGAGTCCTTGCTCATTAATGCAGAATGCCCTATATTAATGTTTTTCATGCTATAACTGGTGGGTAAACCTACAAAAATTTTTTAATAGTCACTTGCTATATTATTGATTTCTTATTTTAACTACCAATATATTTCTGTACTTATATTACCTAGATTTATATTTCTCTTTATGAGCAATGATAAAAAGTTTGAAAATACTCATGTCATAGAAAAAGAAATGAGATATGAAATCAGAAAATCTTGATACAGTCCACTATTAATGGTTAATACACTTAACATTTATACATTATTGATGTATTTGGAAATTGCTCTATCTGCCTTGATGTTTAGCAAATTATTTTAACAAATATTTTATGTTTAACAAATACTACCCTACTTATTCTATGAAATACCTTTATAATATTAATAAATGTATTTATATATTGTTTATATATATATTGTTATAGATATTGCTTATATCTATACTGTTTATATAAATATTGTTTATATATTTATATATTGTTTATGTTGTTTATATATTTAAAAACTACTTTACTATTATACTTTATTAAGAGAAATACTTAATATTGTCTATTTTCATAAAGGAATTATTCAAATGCTAACAGTTTTCTTATCTCCCGTATTAATTCTCATAAGGCTGTAATTTATGTCCTTAAATTATTTGTTCTCTTAAATTTCCCTGAACTATTCAAGAGTAAAAGAATCATTAGACTTGAATCTGATGTTAATTATTACAAGATTTTAATGTTAGCACACATAGTCTTTATTTAATGGAAATAACCTCTAATGCAAATGGAATTCTTAGATTATGAAACATTTTCAATGTTTTAGATTATGATGCTGTATTAATATTGAACAATTATAATTTATTCACATATTAGTGGCATGTACTTTTGCATTAAAAGTCATAACATACATTGAGCGTGTAAACATATCAAATCAAAGCGTATAGGTCAAGCCTTATCGACTTCCCCTGTAACACTTACTTTTAAAATTAGAGTTGATATTCAATATTGGCAGTCTGTCAGATGGAATAAAAATGTGCTGAAATCCACTTGATTGATGCCACTTAAAAACAACATATCCACTTTTTCTATCAAAAAAGATAATATTTTCTTGCCATGAGTGTCCAATGTTAAGTGAAAATAAGGATTGAATATTTTTATATTCAGTGGCTTTTTGTCACATTGTGGATCCTTAACACTTGTTTGTTTATTTGATTTGAAGGATCTGTATTTTCAGAAGTTGGAAACCCATTTTGCTCTAAAATAGAATTAAGGTAAGGTTGCTATTCTTTATATAAAGTCTTGGTATTTTGTCCTCTGTTCAGACAATTAATCTTAGTGGAAATTTCTTGGTAGGAGACACAAAAGAAATTCCCTAGAGGGTATATTAACTTCTAACATTTTTCTTGTCTCAATAAAATGGAATTATAAATGCTGAAATATTTCATACCTTATTGAATGCTGGCCTCAAAAGTAAACGAATCTTAGAAGACTTAAGTCTACTTTAATAAGTTAATAAAAACTTTCCTTACATCATATTGAATTGGGAAAATCTGCTCCCAAGGGCCTCTCAAGCTGTTGAGGAGCAATGCTATCTGTTGACAGACAAAAATGCACATGATTCAAATCATGGTCTTTTAAATTACTATGCTTCTGAAAGTTGGACAATAAGTAAGAATGACAGAAGAATCAATGTCTTTGGTCTGTGGTGTTGGAGAAAAATACTATCTCTTGGATTGCTAAAAGAACATACAAATATATCTTGGAGAAAGTACAACCAGGGTGTTCCTTAGAGGCAAGGATGATAACACTTCATCTCCCATATTTTGGCCATATTGTTAGGAAAGGCCAGTCTTTGGAAAAGGACATGGAATTTGGAAAGAAGAATTGTATTGTGTTTTTAAACTTACAGATAACACTTATTACTTTTAAACTAATTTGTATGTTATAAATTGTAACATAAATTTAAAATGAGATGTATTGATACAGTCACTATAACAATGAGCTTATGTATATTGGAGATGATAAAGATGGTACAGGACAGGAAAGGTATTAGGACTGCTGAGCTCCTTACTTCCTCTACCAGAAAGGCTACTGAGAGAATCCAATCACAGGAAACAGGAGCTGTGCTTTTACTCTCTGTGAAACTACCCTATCCCACTTTAACCAGGAACAGTTTTCTGAGACCCTAGGCCACTTTCCGATCTTAAAGGAAGCATCTGTAAACATCCCTTTCCCCAAATCCCTTATAAGAAAGTATAAAATCCCCCTCTAACTCTTAGTGAGAGCTGGTCTTCTGCTTGAAAGCCAGCCAGTAGTTTCTCCTCAATAAACTATCTTTCTTGGCGTGCACTGGGTTCTGTCCTTCCTCTGTGACCTTACAAAAGGTTCAGATTTGTTGTTCATAGGTTTGCTTTGATTAGTGACTGATTTGGAAGTACCTAACAAAAAAAAAAAAGCATATATCACAGAGTCATTATAACAGTTTTGCACTACTTGACTTTGTTTTTGTTGTTATTAGGTGCCATTGAATCACAGACAACTCATAGTGACCCTGTGAACAAAATACCTGAACCCTGTTATATAACTACCATCATTTCTCTAAGTGCATAGTTTCCAGAGGCAAGATGTTTAGGAAGTGGATGCCACTCCTGCTTCCAAGCTTGTTTTAATCTGGGAGCTCCACCAAACACTGTCCACCATGGGTAACCATTATCGCATTTGACACATCAGTGTCACAGTGTTTAGAATCACAGCAACCCTAAATTAGTTCTGCACAGCAAATTGAAAGACTAGTGCTATACTACTTAGAAGAATATTCAACAGAAACACAGAACCAGGTCCAAGGGCAGCAGGCCTGAGGGTCCAACTGCCTTTTTAAATACAAGGCCAAATCCAAACAGCTCACACATGATTGTGGATGAAACAAACAAACAAATAAAACCCCTCCAAAAGTCCACACCTGAGCCTCAATCAAGAGAATGAACCTTTTAGAATCCAACTGCTCCACACATCAGCACCCTGTCTCTATATTGATTTAAATAAGTTTTTGTTTTCAGGTGCTGTTGACGCAACTATGAGTCATAGCAACAGATTGAAATCTTGCCCTATCCTGAACCATCTCATGATCTCTACTGTAATTAAATCCACTAAGGGTCTGTCAATTTCTCATTGATCTTCTACTTTCTTCAGCATGATTTTTCTTTCAAGGACTAGAGCCTTCTAACAACATGTCCAAAGTATGTGAGATAGTTTCACTCTCCTTGCCTCTAATGATCATCATGGTTGCGCTTCATCAATGAAAGATATGTTTGTTCTTTTAGCAATCTAAAGGATATTTAATACTTCACCAACACCACAATTTAGAAGCATAAATTCTCCCCTTTGGTCATCCTTATTCATTGTCCAACTTTCAGATGCATAAGAAGATATTCAATATACTGTGGTTTGAGACGGGTGCATTGGAGAGAATAGT